ATAGCATTTAACACATTTTCAAATAATAAATGGGGAAAAAAAGAAAAGCAAAAGTTACCATTTAAAAAAGGAAATGCATTCGATCTACGAATTCGAGCACACGATCATAAATTTGTGATTTATTGCGATGGTGTAAGTTTTATAGTTTGAATTTTATGTGATACAATAAGATAACGTTAATGATAATGACTTTATTGCAGTAATAACAATAATAATGGTAGTAATAATAATAATGATAATAATAACAGCAATAATAATAATAATAATGGTAATAATAATAATAATAATAGTAATGGTAGTGATAATAATAGTAATACTAATGATAATAATAATAATAGTAATGGTAATGATAATAATAGGAATAATAATAATAATAATAATAATAATAATAATAATAATAAACTTACCAGTTATTATCCAGAACAACAATAATTATAACAAACTTTATACATTCCCGAAAATAATTTGAAAAAAATTTTAACAGTAATAATAAAAAAAATTTTTCTTTAAAAAAAAAATTCACCTTTATCGTTTTTTTGAAAAAAAACTTTTTAAGGACTTCCTTTTTTTTCAAGAAAAAAAGTGCAAAAGAAGGAAATAGCTAAAAAAAAAAGATTATTATTTATCATTATAAAGATATTATCTTGTTAAATAATACTATTAACTAAAGAATTTGAGCTAATTTAAGAAAGTATAATTTCTTATTGACTAGAAAGGAAGTAAAAATATTAGAGCAAAGCTATTGAATTATTTAAATTTGAAAGCCTAATACGTAACAATTATGCTATTTGATCAGTAGATAAAGAGAGAGAGAGAGAGAGAGGGAGAGAAAGGGAGAGAGAGAGACAAAGAGAAGGAAAAGGTTATATTATTAAATAATTATTAAAATATTACAATGATTAGTAAAAACAAAAGACACATAATTATTCATATTCAAATATCAATGAAAAAAAAGAATAAAAATGAAAATAAAATAAAATAAAATTTATAATATACGAAAAAAAAATTAAAAGTTATTACCTAAAATAAATATTAAATATATTTAATATTTTCTCATTTTAACATTATACTTCTTTTTACAATGTAATATATATTTTTTTTTCTTTATAATATATTCCATTGATTTTTTTTTACAATATTCAAATTTTTTTTTTAATTATTTCTTTTTTTTTTTGTTTAATCAAATGAAAATTAATTTTTATAAATATTTAGAAAGAAGTAAAATTGTTTGATTATCGTGTACCATTACAATGGATTACATATGTATCAATTGATGGTGATGCTATTATTGGTCAGGTACAATGGGGTGGCAAATATTATGTTAGTTTTAAAATTCATTTTTTTTTTTGAAATTTAATTAGATTTTAAAAATGCATGTTTGATTTAATTAATTTTTTGATTAAAAAATTTATTAATAATATTAAAAAAAAAAAAAAAATTATGAATTATGCGAAAATAGTTTTGTTTATTTGTAAACATTTTTTTTTTTTGTATTAATTAATCTATTCATCAAAATTAATTTTTTTAACTAAATGAAGTAAAATATTTAAGAATGTAATTAATTTAATTTTGCTATAATTTTTTTTATTATTTTAGCCTGTTCCATATGAATCAGGTATAGTAAATGGTGGCTTATCACCTGGTAAATCATTATATATTACCGGAATACCGGATAAACGTAGCAAACGATTTAATATCAATTTATTGAAACAAAACGGTGATATTATTCTACATTTCAATCCACGATTTGATGAAAAAGTTCGAAAATGAATTTACTTTTTCTCTTTCCTTTTTTCCTTATTCGTTTTTCGTTTTTTTTTTTTTTAATTTTAAATAATTTTTTATCAAAAATATTTTAGGATTTTGGGAAAAAGAAACGAATACTAATGTATATTTTAATGAAATTTAAATGATAATTTTATAATTTTGTATTTAAAAAAAAAAAATGAAATTTTCAATTTTTTTTGCTATAAATAGAAAAAAAAAATGGAATGGATTCGAATTATTAGTTAAAAAGACAAAAAAAAAAAAGAAGGAAAATTAGAATGGCTATAGGTATTAATTAATTAATTATTAATAAAGTTGAACAATTACTAATTAAATTTTAATTATTACTATTATTTTTTTTTTATTTGAAAACATAAAAAAAAAAGAAATGAAATAAAAATTTAGGTAGTCGTACGCAATGCATTAATTGGCGGTGTTTGGGGTAAAGAGGAACGTGAAGGTAAAATTCCATTTGAAAAGGATAAAATTTTTGATTTACAATTTCACAATGAAGAATACGCAATACAAGTAATTTTATTTTTTTAATAATATTATTTTAAAAATTAAAAAAAAAATAATTTTAATTTTAATAATATTATAAAAAAAAAATATATGATTTGCATAATTGTATAATTTAATCATTAATGAGATTTATGATTAATAAATAATTCCCTGAAGAGAAAGGGAAAGAGGGAGAGAGAGAGAGAGAGAGATTTAAGAAGGTATTGAAAGAGTGATTGTTTGAATAAATGGATTATTTTTTTAAATTTCTTCACTATTATCTCTAAAAATTTTATTGTTAATATTTTATTAAAAAATAAAATTTGATATTGAATTTTTATCTTTTTTTAAAATGATTTTTCTTCTTTTTGCCTCCTTTTTTTTGATCATATTTCTCTTTTTTCTTTTAAAAAATCTTTTTTTTTTTTTATTTTTTGATCTAATAATAAATGTCGATATAGATATTGGTAAATGGTGAACGATTTGTGACATTTGCGCATCGATCACAAGCAAATGATATAGTTGGTGTTCAGATACAAGGTGATGTGGAAATCAGTGGAATTCAAATACAATAATTGAATTAAATATTGATAATTTGAATAATTTTAAAGCTAAAAATTTATATCAGATTTAATACTTATATCAGATTTAATACTTATATCATTTATAAATGATCTTCAATTTACTTAATTTTCTTTTTCTCATCTTTAATTATTAATTTCCGATTTTATTTCAAATATGATTGCTCTCCTTTTTTTTTTTTTTTTGCAAGAAAAAATAATAATTCTGAATGAAATTTTATTATCAATTATAAATATGTGATTGGTGTAAAATTTATGAAATTTACTGATTATGAAGTAAAATATTAATTATTAAAAGAGAATGAATGCTATCAAGAAAAGTTCAAATGTCAATTATTAGAATGGTAAAAATTGACAGTTGCAAATTTAAAACAGTACAAAAATATTTATTATATATTTAGTTTATTTTTTTTTTTAAAAAAAAAAAAGGAAAAGAAAGAAAAAAGTTGCCATTGCATAACTGTTACAATTTAATTAGCATATTTCAAAAAATTTCAGCATTTCGCTGTTCCTTTTTTTACATTTAATAAAAAGTAAAAAATATATAAAAAAGTATGTAAAAGTGAGGCGATATTTCATGATTATTATTTAATAACACAATTTACTGAAACATATTTTTTTTCAAAAAAATTAAAAGAAAAAATAAATCAAACAATCATTTTATGGGGAAAAAAAAAAGAAAATTTTTGAAATATTTCTTCTTTTTGGATAAAAATACTATAAAAATTATTTTTCTCTCCTTTTTTTCTTTGTTAAAAAAAAGCATAATTTCATAAAATGCATACAACATTTATTTATTTTCTTTTTTTGTTATCAAATATTTTATACAACATTTATGCATATTAATTAGTGATAAATGATAAATGAGCAAAATGCAAAAAGAAAAAAGCATATAATAGATGGATAATTCAAGAAAAAATTCATTAAGCGATACTGATAGATAGCAGCGAGATCATTGTTTTATTATCAGACATCAGTTATCAATTAATGATAAAAAGAAAGAGGGAAAGAAAAGAAAACAATAATAACCCATAATTAGCATAATATTTTGTGCAATAAAGTAAAGGCTTTCATTTAATTTTTTTTTTTTTTTTTTTAATATAAAATATTTAATGTATGATTTTTTATTTAAAAAAAAAAATCGGAAAAATATATTTTAATAAATTTATTAAAATTAATTTACAAGAGTGAATTTAGATAAAACAAAAGTAACTTCTTTTTTTTCTTGTTTTCCTATCATTTTTTTTCGCATTTAATGAAAAAAAAATTGTAAATTAAAAAAAAAATTATATAATTAACAAAAGAAAAGAAAAACAAGAAAATGATTGCTTTCAATCATTTTCAATTATTTCATTTCCATTTAAAATATCTAAGGCAAACAATAAATACAATAACTGATAATTTAGTAAATAATCTTTTCTTTTCATGAAATATAGTAAAGTTTTAGTAATATTTTTGAAAATTAGTTTTTTAAAAAAAATTTTTTTGATTCAAAAATATTTTTTGCTATTTATACTATTTATTATTTTTTTTTTTACTATTTGCTTTCCAACATGAAATAATAAAAAGATAATATGGAAAGTTATAACATAAAATTTCATTTTCCGCTATATCATCGATTCCAATTTTGTAAACACTTTGAAGCATTCATTATAATCTGAAATATGAATTATGATTTTAAAAAAAGTTGTAATAAATAATTAATTGTTAATTGATAGCACAAATTTGAATCAAATTGATTAATGACTATTGGAAATGGAGCCAAAAATTATAACAAATATGAAATTTTCGAAAAAAAAAACACGAAAAGATAAAAATAATACCAAGGTATTATTAGCTGATAATTATTAATATTGGTTCTGTCGTAAAATATTTTTCTTATATTTTTTCAAAAATTTCATATTTTAGAGCAAAACTATTGAATCCAAATATTTTTGTTTATGCTACAACAAGCTAAACACATATCAGCATTTCTTATATCTAAAAATTTTCTCTGTATTTGAAATATGACATATATATAATGCAAAATGAATTAATGAAATAATTCAAGTAAAATTAAGAATTAAAAAAAATAAAAGATTTTTATTGTTAAATTTTAGTAATGCTAACTAACCATTAATACAATTAAATTGATAAATTTTTTTTTCGACACTATGTACTTGTCATCATTCGTACAAATTCTTCATAATTGATCTATAAATTATATAAAAACATTTATCATTAATTATTGATAAAATTTTAAAAACAACAACAAAAAAAGAACTTTAAAAATGGAATTAACCTATTGAGAGCTAATGTTAAAACTAAAAAAATAACTATTTGAGAATAATCAAATTAAAAATGGCCAAACAAATTCACTGCAATAATTTTATTTAGTACACACAAAAAAAAAAAAAAAAACATGAATATAAAATTTGTAAATGAATTTAATTCATTTCATACATTATCATCATATTTCTTTTGAAAATTTTTGAATTACATTTTTTTTTGGAATAAAATTTAAATCTATTTCATTTTTTAAAAGTAAATCTTACCTGTCCATCACCATCAATATCAACTTCAGCAATCATTTCATCTACTTCTTCATCACTAAACTGTTCACCCATATGAGTCATAAAGTATCGAAATTCTTCAGCCGTAATATATCCATTACCATCACGATCGAATACTCGAAATGCTTCACGTATCATTTCACTATCATTATCCTATCAATAATCAATTTAGTTATGAAATGATAAGACTCAACAAGAACAGATGACATACCATCAAACATTAACATTTTCATCTAATTAATCTTAATCTTATGAAAAAAAAATTGCATTCATCTAATGAATCATTTTGTTATAGGAGAATAAGATTGATTCACCTAAAAAAAAAAAGGAGATTTAGAAAAGAAAAAAAAATTGCTTTTGAAACTACTCTTGAAAGGATGATTAACAAAGAAAAAAGTGAAATGACATTCTGATAGAACAATTTAGATAGCATCAATTTAAAATAAAATATTTCAATTAATGAAAAATATGAAATTAGATTCGCAAAGTTTTGCGTAATCATAAGAAAAAAAAAGGGGAAATTCCAAAAATATTTGAAAGAAATAATAATAATAATTAATTTCAAAACCACAGCAATAATTTCAACATAATAATAACTAACTGAAACATATAAAGAGAAGAAGAAAAAAAATAAATATAACAAATTAAGTGAGAAAAGAAATGAATGTTTTATTGAAGAATTATAAATCTGAATTAGATAACTATGATAGTATGGTTTAATCACGTTGAGAATTCAATCAATTCAACGTATAAATCCATAATTTATTCACAGCGATTTCCCTTAATGCCTACAATTAAACTATAATACTATCAATGTTTAACTTTATTTACAAATATTTCACTTCAATATTGATAAATATTTCAAACCGTGAAATATGTAACAATGATAATACGGTTTGTTCACGATGATAAACCAATCGATTTAAACCATCAATTCATCTAATAGTTTTTTTCTTCTTTTTCAATTTATGTTAATTTTAGTTTAGTTCTCTTTTTTTTTCTTTTTCATTTTTAAAATATTTAATTTCTTCTAGTATAAATTAAATTACCTTATTCATTCGTTTCATCATTTGACAAAATTCAGGAAATTCAATGCTACCGCTACCATCAAAATCCACCTCATTGATCATATCCAGTAATTCTTGCTCAGTTGGATTTTGACCTAATGTTCTCATTGCTACACCTAATTCTTTTGAAGATATTGAACCATTACCGTCCTGAAATTTAAACTGTTATTTTTTTTTCAAATCATTTTTATTTAAATTAATAAAATTTTGAGTAAGTTAAAATAATTTCTAAAATAATTATTGCTTTTATTTCTTTGATTTCGGTTATAAAATAAAATGAAAATTATTCAAATTATTTAATTCTACTCAATATATATTTTCTAAATTTTTTTTTTCACTCTCTTTTTTGTTTTGTTTTGTTTGTTTGTTTGTTTTTTTTTTTGTTATTCATTAAAATAAAATACAATGAAATAAATGTATCAAAAAAGGGATGATATATGTATCAAAAAAGGAAAAAAAATTACCTTGAAAAAGGAAGAGAAAGAGAGAGGGAGGGAAAGAGAAAAAGAGAAAATGAAGCAATCTTAAATGTACCATTTCAATTAAATTTTTACTAAACTTCATTTCATCTTTTTTTTCCATTTATGCCATTGAGCAAAATTAAATTTCATTTAATCCCCCCTCTCTTTTTCCTTGCCTCCCCTCACTTCCGTCTTATCATTAATCGTATATTTTCTTCTCAATTAATGTTAAATTTCGAATCTTTAAAGAAATTTTTCCAAATTTTCAATTTTTACATTTTGCCATTATGAGCAAAAAATGTAAAAGTTAATTGTTTAAAAAATTCCATCACTTTTTTTTCGATCAATAAAAATAAAATAATATAATAATTCATATAAAAATGATATAATAAAAATGCATAAATCATCATTAATTTTATTTAATTTTACTTTAAATGACTAATATTCATGCCTAATTTGATTAATTAAATTGAATATTAATCTACTTAGATTGTTTAATTGAATAATCTATAACATATAAAAACGATAAAATTTGTAGAATTTTACTTTTTTTTTTTGTCTTTTTTAAAATTAATTTCAAATATAATATACCAATATTAAAAATAAAAAATAATGAAATATATATTTAGTGAGAATAACAATATTTTTTTATCATTTACCTTATCAAATAACCTGAATGCTTCACGATATTCAATAGCTTCCTCTTCACTGACACCTTCCAATTGCTCATTATTTGTTTGTTGTTTCCATCTGCTAAATAGTGACATTTTTCGATTGTTTGACATTTTGCGCCTCCTTTTTCGTTATATCACTTATTTGAGTAGTAAAATTTTTTTTTTTTATATTGCAAATTCAGTCAATAATTAGTAATAATATTTTGCCAATAATTGAATTTTATTTGCTTCTGTCGAATAATTCAACATTAGCTATTTCAATGCTCAAATAATATCTGAAATTAAAAGAAGAAAAGAGAAAATTGAATATTTTAATGTCAAGTCAAATAATATTTGTTATCAAAACAAAAAAGCAAAAAACAAAACAAAAACAAAAAAAAAAAAAAGGAAAGAAAATTGAATATTTCTAAATTAAAATATTGTAATCAGTTGGAGGGAGGTATTATTTCATTATTTGTTTATTTATTAACTATGTTAATGGCTTCATAATTTACCTAATGTCGAATAATATTTGGGAAAATAAGAATAAAGAAAAAAAAAATTGGATATTTCTTAATTAAATATATATATATTTATTTGCATGTATGATTTAATTATTTTTTCGTTTTCCTCTTTCTTTAATTAGCAAATGCAAATAATTTTAGACATTTTTGCAAATAGAATTAGGTGGATTTAAGGGATATGCCTAAAATAGCTCACTAATTAATTAACTAATTGATTAACTGCTTAATTAATCTATAAATATTCGTCATGGAAGAGAGATAAAAAAATACTTATAAACAATAACAATTGTAGGATAAAGTTTTACGATAAAATATTAAGTGATTTTTGAACATTTTTTATGAATTAATTTTAAGGTTAAAATTTTTTACATATATAATTAATAAAAAATTGACAGATTGGTTATAAATACTTGTAATAATTAAAAATAAAAGTTTAATTAATAGGAATGTATTAAAGTATCGAATCATTTGATTTTTTTTGTTAAAAAATTATGAAAATATAAATATAGGAAAAAACAATGAAACAAGTATTATCTTTTTGCATTAGCATAAAAACAAAATTGAAATCATCTTATGAAAAAAAAGAAAAGTTAAAATGAATAAATCTTTCCAAGTAGTAATTAAATTTCCAATTTTGGGCTGTAACTAAGAGGAGATAAATTATTTGATAAAAATTTAATTAGATTAAACAGGGACGAAATGTTTGGATAATATTTTAGCTAATCGGTGGAAAAATTTTATCAGAGAAATTTTTATCATTTTTCTTTATTAATGAATATTTTTCTGTTATTAATTAATATCAATTTATCAATGCAAATTTTATTGGAAGCATTTTTTTTTTCGCGATTAAAAAGAAACGATTATATATCATTTACGAATATATATTCATTATATTAAAATTTAGAATACTTGTTCAATGATTTGATTATCCGAAAAATTAATTCATTTATTTAATTACTACTATTATTATTATTATTGGATTTATTAATACTATTTTTGTTCTATTAATTATTATTAAATTATTAAAAATTGATCAATTCATTCTACCATATAATACCTTACCAATAGCAAATTTTATAGAAAAAAAAAGTTTTCAATTTAAATATAAAAACTGTTATAAAATTTACAATTAATTAATGCAATAAATTAATTACAACGAATATAATTTAAGAAGAAAAAGAAAAGAAAAATTGTTGTAAAATATACTTTATATATTTAATGTAAAAAGTAATTTCAAAAAAAAAAAAGGAAAAAAAATGACAGAAGATTTGCTTTAAGTAAAAGTTATTAGATAATATTAAAATTCCTTCAAGAATTTATTGACAGAAACTTTTGTATTATTTTTAAAATTTTATTTTTTACCTATTGCAAAGAAATATGAGAATTTATAACTGAAAAATGCGAATTAATATTAATACTGCAAAAAGATAATTTAGCATATTAAAACGATTACTAAGTGTAATTTAATCATACAAAAATTTCTTTATTATAAAATTGAGAAAAAAAAACAAATAAAGAAAAAAGTTTTGCTCTTAATAAATTAATAAAAAAAAAGAGAAAATTTTAAAAAGATTTGACGAATAATTAATATTTAATATATTTTTGCTTTTTTTTTTTTTTTTTAAAGCATTTAGGAAGATTATTTACATTTTGGTAATAGCAAATAAATCAATTTTCTTTAATTTCTAATTATTGAGAAAAGAGAGAGAGAGAGAAAGTGAAAAGGAAAAGAAAAAAAGAAAAGTAATCTTTTTAGCAAATAGCAAAAATCTTTGCTAAATTCTCGGGAGATTTTGCAAATGAGATGGTACTTTTAAAATTAAATTAATGATGAGTGAAGTGTTACGGAAGATCTAATTTGAAATGGAATTTACTCCTTACTTACTTCTTTTCCTATTTCAATTGATGATGATCAGAATGATGATAATGATAATAGTGATAATGATAATGATAGTGATAATGATAATTAATGATGATAGTAATGATTATGAGAGGAAAAAAAATGAAGTGAGAAAGAGATAGATGGAAATATATATGAATGAATCGATGTAAACAATTTATTTCAAAATTTATTTTTATTTTTTTTCTTGTTGAAGCAATAATTAATATATTATTAAGAATTGAGAATTTAGTATTAATAATTAAGAATTAATATAGTATTAACGTGATTAAAATTTTCAATGTTTAATTATAATAAATGAATTTAGTAAAAATAGTTTCCCAGTTTTTAAATTTTCTATATTTATTACAAATTATTTGTTAAATATCACTGTTAACAGTAATAACTATAAACTTAACTGATAAAAATTTTTAAAATTTAATTTTTGAAAATGATAAGGAAAAAGAGGATTTAGACAATATTGATAATATAAATTTGATAAAAAAAATTTTATGCTTATAAATTATATATGAAATTATATTTATAATATTTTTTGTTTTAAAAAAAAAGGATGATTCATTCATTTAACTAATTTCGAAACAAAATTTAAAAAAAAAAAAAAGAAAATTCGAAATAAAATTTTTTGTCACTGAAATATTGAAATAAAATTTTTGATATTAAATAAAATATCTTTACAATTTAATTAATTTTATATTCCAATAAAATTAATCGTTTTTTTTTCTTTTAAATTTATAATCATATCAAAATTTAAAAATTTCTCACATATTTGCTCTAAAATTGGAAAAAAAAATATTTTTATGAATTGATATTTTCTTAAAATAAACAAAAAATGATACTGAGAGGGAGGGAGAGAGAAATGGAAGGAGGGGAAAAGAGAGAGAGAGAGAGAGAGAGGGCAAAAAAAAAAAGAAAGAAAGAAAAAATATCTTTTTAAATTATTTGCTTTTCCTTTCTTTCCTCTTTCCTTTTCCTTTCTTTTTTTTTTGAAAAGAATTTTTTTTTTATAAATTTTTTCCCTCCCTCCCTCTCTCTCTCTCTCTCTCTCTCTCTTAATTTTTCTTAAATTTGAACAAAAAATATTGTTGCTTTTGCTAAAATTTCATCAATGACGTCAATCATGTTTGATTAGAATCAATTAGATACGACGTGACAATGACATTTCATTTCATTTTTCAATCTTTTTTAATAAACATGTCAAATGTTACTGATGTTTACAAGTGATTGAAGAACAAAATGATAAAACAATTACAAATTAATTGAAAAGGTGATAAATCTGAAGAAAACAATACAAGGGAGAAAGAGAGAGAGAGAGAGAGAGAGAGGGAGGGAGTGAGAAAAAAAGAAAAAAGTAAAATTAAAAAAAAAAAGGCGAAAAATATTATTGAAACTTTTAAAAGTCTCATGGGAAGAAAAGCAAAAAAAAAAAAAATGTTATATTGCTTTTGAATTTTTTCAAAAATATTTCACAAATAAATAAATATATATCATATGTATATATATGTATGAATTTCAGTTTTATAATAATTTTATTTTTGTTATTTTTTCTTTTTATGAATAAAAAATAATAAGGAAATTGAAATTTTTCATTTAATTTGAAAATTGAAAATGTTTGAGTGGCAATTAAATTTAAATAATATTGTAGTAATATTATAATTAAAATAATTAAAATTTAAATAATATAGTAATACAATAAAACAAATGCAATGAATGAAATAAATTTAAAAAAAAAAATTATGATAAGTGGAAAAATTAAAAAATATTAACAAAGATGCCGCTTATGCATGATTGAAATATCATATTTTAATTTAATTAATTTGTTTTTAAGAAACAATAAATATTGTTTCAAAAATAATTAATTAGCAATCATTTGCTAGCAGGAAATTGATCAAAAAAAAAATTTATTGAATAGTAAAATGTGAAATATTTTTTGAAGAAATCAACCTGAAATAGAATCATTCGTAATTTATTTACAAACAATACATTAAAATAAAAATGATAAGAGTGATAGCAAATGATAAGCAATATCAAATAGAAAAAACAAAAAATGAAAAATTTATCATTTAATTATAATATAATATTAACTTATCTCTATTATTATCACTGCCTTATAATTTTCCATTAATTAATTTATCATTAATTAATTTATCTTTATCATTTATTATCATTCATGTAAAAAAACGAAAAAAGAAAAGTTTGATGTTATTTTGTTTTCAAACAATTTGTTTAAAACATTTCAAATTTTATTCATTCATTAATTACCTATTAATTTAGTTATTATTTTTTTTTTTGATGTAAACAAGTGTAATTTCATTTACATTCAATTCCATCAAAAAATGTTTATAATTTTATTTATCCAATTAATTTCTTTTACAAGAAAAAAGAAAAATTAAAAACTGAAAATTTAATTTAATTATTTTTTTAAACAAAAAAAAAAGAAATTACTTAAGAAAGAAAAAAACAAAACAAATGGAAGTTTAGAAAGGAACCAAATAATTGATCTTTTCCACCTACATAATTGTTAAATAAAGGTGTAAAGTTCCTTTCTTTTCTTTTTTGTTTTCTTTTTAATAGATTAGATCAAAGATAATTTAACAGAGACAAAGAAACAAAGTAAGAGGGAAAGAGAGAGAGAGAGAGAGAGAGAGAGAGAGAGAGAAGATTACTAATTATATTACAATAAAATTAACTGTTATTAGTGAGAAAGTGTG